GACGGCCCGCGGCAGCTGCGGCTCCGTGAAGGTGCTGAAGGAGGAGCCCGAGCGCTCGTAGGGGGGCGTGTCGGGCTCGACGGCCGTCACGGAGCTGCGTCGCTTGATCACCACCGGCGTGGAGGCGTCGCTGTACACGGGCTCGGAGGCCACGAACTTCGAGGGCGGCAGGAAGCCGTAGCCCCCGCCCACCACCTCGATGTTTAGCCGCCCCGACTTCCCCGCGGCGGAGGCTTGGTCGGCCTGGCTCGTTTGTACGGAGGGAGGCATGGCGCCCCGCTGCAGGGAGAGGCTCTTGACGCAGGGCTCGGGGGGCGGCGGCGGCGGCTGGTTCCGACACAGGTTGTCGACACTGGAAGAGCGGGGGGGCCCGGCGCCGGGGGCCAGGGGCACGCAGCTCTCGGAGCCAGAGGAACCCGACTTGGAGTGCGAGGCGGAGGAGGAGGAGTAAGAGGCCTGCGAGTGGATGCCCGAGTCGCAGCGCTTGTCGGGGGGGCTGACGGAGGAGGCGGTGGAGGAAGAGTCAGAGCACCTGGGGGCCTCCCCCGCCACGGCTGGGTCTCCGCTGCGTCCGGGGCTGCTCTCCTGCGGGGAGACACACGGTCAGCACAACCACACAACTACTGCTCACACTCAATACATGCACTGCACATCAAGGGCTAAAGGAATGAGAGGCGTTCGCGAACAGGCGAAATTTTCAGCCGAGCCATGCCGACTCCTCTTTTCCGACCTGGCTTCAATTCTAACGGATCGACATTCCTTAAACTTTGATTTTAATGGACGTCCGTGATTTATGAACTTATTTATCTAACACTGTGAAATTCACAATTTAAGTTACAGGGCTTTAGTGACATCAGGAGTGAGATTCTCGCATTTTTCAGTAATCGGGCACTTATACTTCATCCGTGGAACACTTCTAAGGGAATATCAGGCACGGGAACCTCCTGTGAGATTCATGTTAACATAATCTTCATTTACGAAGAGTGCAAGTGGCTTTCGTTGCTATGAGGCAATCAATCTTCTTCTCCATTGAAGACAGACCCTTCTCTGGCGTGTTTGTTGCTCAATTGGTGCTCGAGTCCTGTGTTGGTCATTTGACTCGTTCAGGTTTTCTTTGTCAAGGATGTTACTTGTCAATAGTTTCTCGTTATTTTTTTTATATATTTTATTTCATCATGTTGGCTTTTAGTTTCACCGATAATTATATAGAATTACAAACCCACATGTTCTTGATATTTTTCTTTTTCTTTTTATTTCTCTTTCAGGTAAGCACGCACGCACGCACGCACACAACTAACTCCCTCCCTCCCTTACTCACTCACACACACACACACGCACAAACTAACTCATTCCCTCCCTTTCTCACTCACTCATTCACTCACTCACACACGCACACACACGTCTGTATACACTCAAACAGAGGCCCAACGAATACCTACATAGACAAGTAAACAATCACACACACGTATAAAAACACGAAGATAATTAGAAGTAGATAGCTGAAATAGTAATATGTTTTATGCATCATCTAATGATAATTATAAAGAATCAAAGTATACATATGAATACAGAAAAAAAAAATAATGACTAAATACCCAAAAAATCTTTGACAAAAGAAAAAGAAACTGATGAATTGAAAAGTATTGAAAAGTATAAATATAAAAATATTAATAATCATGAATTGAAAGATAAAGTATAAATATAAGAACATTAATAATCATGAAAGGAAAGGAAATCACAAATTGAATCACTGATCTGACTTCACTGAGGTTATATACACAAAAAAACAACTCTATCATAACCTGGGTTTCATAGGTACAATGGAGGGATATTTATCATAAAATTATCCTTACCTGGTAAAAGAAACTGAATTGGGAATCGTGTAATGGTACCTGGTAACCTGTGGTACCTGGAATGAGCGGGCCTAAGGGGAAATACTGGAATACAAATAAAAGATTTTTGATGACAAACGAAGATAAAGTTGAAAGAAGGTTTCAAACTGACCCTGACATTTTTTGACACAAGTAACAAGAAGAAGAAGAAGAAGAAAAGAAGGAGAGAGAGAGAGGGGGGGGGGACGGACGGAGGGAGGGAGGGAGGGAGGGAGAGAGGAAGAGGAGAGAAAAGAGGAAAGAGGAAAGAGAGAAGAGAGAGAGAGAGAGAGAGAGAGAGAGAGAGAGAGAGAGAGAGAGAGAGAGAGAGAGAGAGAGAGAGAGAGAGAGAGAGAGAGAGGAGAGAGAAGAGGGAGGGAGAGGGAGGAGAGAGAGGGAGAGAGAGAGGGAGAGGGAGAGGGAGAGGGAGAGGGAGAGAGAGAGAGAGAGAGAGAGAGAGAGAGAGAGAGAGAGAGAGAGAGAGAGAGAGAGAGAGAGAGAGAGAGAGAGAGAGAGAGAGAGAGAGAGAGAGAGAGAGAGAGAGAAGAGAGAGAGAGAGAGAGAGAGAGAGAGAGAGAGAGAGAGAGAGAGAAGAGAGAGAGAGAGAGAGAGAGAGAGAGAGAGAGAGA